CGCCTGCACTGGCGCATCATCTGAAAGTTAATACTATTTAGTACATGCCAGAGGAAAGAACTATCAAAAGATCACGATCAAGCCAACCTGCTCCATCATATCTGCAGCTATTTCCCTCAGCTTCCACAAAGAATCCGAAAGTATCGGTCGGAAACTCGCAAACTTAAATCGAGTTTTTCAACTTGTCAATAAATGTGAAAAAACTTACCTTCGGAGAGCTTTTATCCACATTCTTCAATATGCCAAATGGCATCATCATGAGTCTGTGGCAGATATAATAGCAGTTGTTATAAAATATGGCTGAAATACGCTCATCAAGCAGCAATGACTTTCTGAATGAAGCTTACCAGCCATCTGAGGCATTGAGGAGATCGCAGTTCCGTGATGCCTTGGAGCAGTGAGTTCAAATAATTGCAGAACATTTCGAGCTGTCAATGCCAGACGACCAGAGAGTTTCTGAATGACAATTTTGCAACAGCAACTATTCAAAATGCAGGACTAACCTCATTGTCCGTATTTATCGCATCCTGTAGGGTGACAAAAACCAATTCCATGAGATCAACTGTAGATTGGCTAAAATGTAGGTGATACGCTGAAGAAATTAAAGATCCTAATGCGCCAACAATGAGTTGATAAGCCCTGTACATGGTCATGTGAGGGCATGAGGTGAATATTAGATGAAACAATGAATAAGATTATATAAACTGCTGTACACAAAGTCGAAAGGAAAAACTCGCCTGACTTTGCATCGTGGAAGTTGGAGCAGCACTGGGTACACACTATCCGAGGATGACGACGACTTCGGAAGGGCTTTTCCAAAAGCCTCCTTGTACTGGAGTATCGTCTCCTCGTTGACCTCCTCGCCACTTCCAACCTAAAAAATCAATAACGTTAATGTCACTTGCTGGAAAATCGCCCAAACCTCGGCCAGTTCAAGGTATTTCATGCAAATCAATTCCTTGGCCCTTCTTATAATTTCGAGGCATCTGCGATCAATAAACACCGTGAAATGTTGTTCGGAAAAGTTCTTGAACGTAGGCGTCGCATCATTAAAGAAACCAAGAGCCTGCAAACCAGATGCTTACTGTATAGGAACCGCATTTACAAGCTGTGACATACTATCATATCATCTCGGAATTTTTCAGCAACTGCCATGGCATCCTTGAGCTTCGTCCCATCCGGATCAGGAACTGGGACAGATGCGGCCACGGATTGCTACAAGATATTGTAATAAAGAAAGCTATTCAAAAATGTAGTGCCCACCTTCAAAAACATGGCCATAAGGTCATCCTGGAAGAAGTGACCAAGGCATAGTGGAAGCGACCTACCATTGACCTGGATACCTTCTATCGCAGAAGCTAGATTCGTAAACAAACGCAGCAGAGAACTAAAATGACAGGTCAGTAATACCATCTTGCAGGACTTGCGCAGAAACGCATTGACTTACAAGCTAAGCATTATTGAAAACGCTGAAGCTTACCTGACTACACCTTCAATGGAGACCGCTTTTATGGTAGGCTTGATTTTGCTACTCGCCGTAAATTCTGCGGTTCTATTCTGAATCGTAAGAGGAATGAGAATGTTTTGCTATCCCAATGCACCAACCGTGACTGCATATCTCTCAAATGGATCTGTTCCATCCACACTGTCCACAATAGGCTGGACAAAGTTTTTTACAATATAGGAAGCCCATTTTTTCAAACGCCCATCGAGCTCACCAAGAAGGCTTAACGCGGTGAGCAGCTGGAAACAAATGTTTGCATAATAAACTATCACTAACCAACTAACGTAACTATTGCATAACAAGAAAAAAGTGATGGAAATTTCTTGAAAGCAGATACATGATATTTCAAAAAAGAATGGTACAGAGTCATGAGCACACCAGATAATTTTCAGTCTGCTCGTAAACTGACTTAGCACACCCAAAGGCAGTGTTCGCGCAGATTTGGAGCTCCTCAGTTCCA